GTAGGTGATCTGAAGTAATGCACAAGCCTAAGGTTGTAAATAGATGTCAAACAAGAAACGGCACAAGTTCGGATCAACCTTTCACATAGCAAAATGCCTTTACAATCACAAATATCTATTCTATCATTTTACATTAAGTATACAATACTGTTTAAAATAGTGGTGCACTATAAGCTTTGATTAAAAGTTATTATCATTGCAGCAGCATACCATGTCAACAGATTTGCATGTCTATCATAATGTAAACAAACAGTACATTAGGTTATGATTCCAGACTTGAAAAAAAAAAAATTGGTTGGCTCTTTGTTTTGAAGATAAATAATTGCCTCCGGTGCATTTCGAATAATAAGAGAATAATTTAAACTAGGAGGACTAATGTAATCCGGATGCAAAACATTGTTTACACTTCAGAAAGGAGCCTACAGCCTAGAGTACCCAGATAGGCTAGGAGGGTACTGCATGAAAATACGTGTGTAATCAAACTATTTCAGAGTTCTTGCATCACACGGTTTACTGAGTAATACTACGTACCTGTTTTATGAAGTAGGATGTAGAAATTTAAGGAGGTAATATCTGGTGTAACTTGTCCTCTCCCTCATTATTTCCACTACTGCGATTGTCACTTCTTGTTCTGTGAATAATAAATACTTCAGAAGCTACAGTTCCGACCAAAGATGGAGTTCTAAGTTCATTCATTCCTAATCCTTAAAATTCAATTACTGAAGTATATTTCTGAGATTCAAAAGAATAACTAGTTCAAGAACATCAGCTAATACTCTACAACAACTGGCGACGAGAGAAGAACAGATTCCTGCGCGGATGTTCGAAATTTCACTGGATTCAAATCGACTCCTTTGTCTCCAGCCGGCAGCATGGCTGATAATCCACGACTCTGGATTTTCGACGAAAAGAAGGAAGACATCGACGCCTACATTGAAAGGTGGGAAGCCAGATTTCGTCGAAAAGAATTGACGTCTGATTCAAAGAAGATTGACTGGTTTATTGAAGATTGTGGACAAGCGATGCACAATGCACTACGCACCTTGTCCAGGCCATTGCAAGTGAAGGATCTCAGGTGGGACCAAATTACTGCTACATTGGTTCAACATTGGGGTCCTCGAAGAAACAAGCATTTGGAACGCCGAAAGTTTCGTGCGAGAGTTCGTCAAGCTGGTGAATCTTTCAATGACTTTGCATTAGCCCTACGGGACCTATCCCAGTTCTGTGATTTTCAAGATCTTAATGAGTCCCTCATTGAAGCATTTCTCAATGGCCTTGGGGATCAAGAGGTGCTCAAACACTTAGTTTCACAAGATTTTGAAACATTCAATGAGTACGTGGCAGAATCTTATAACAGACAGGCTTCTATGAGAGTTGTCGATACCAACAATACCACCGTCAATGCTGTGGCCTCTACCTCAAAGAAGAAGTCGGGTAAGAAGAATAAGTCTGGAACTGGAAATACTGCTAACAACGTAACTTTTCATACTGCAGGCAAGCAGACTCCAAAGCCCTCCCCGCAGCCTAACCAGAAGCCTCAGCCAACCCAGAAACCTCCTGCGACGCCAAAGCCTTCTGCTGCAACACCTGGTAAACAACCAGACAATGTTTGTTTTGGCTGTGGGCAGCTACACTTCAGATCCAACTGTCCGTACAAGAATGCAACCTGTTTCGGCTGTCATCAAGTGGGACATGTGAAGTCTGTTTGCGGAAAATTCAGGAATAATACTAACCTTGTGAGTGGTAACTTCCAAACACCACCTCTAAAAGACATGCCTAATGATGGGTTTGGATTTGGTGATAATTTCGGTGGCTTGTGTCACATTTCTGTAGCAAACCTGAGTCCTCCTATTCCTGAAGCGGGGAAGAAAGTGTTTGTTGATGTACAGGTTAATCACCAACCAATTACTGCTCAACTAGACTGCGGAGCAATAGTGACCATCTGTGGCGAACCACTCTACCAAGCCAGGTGGGCAGATTCTCCACTTCGCAATCCACTTCTGGATCTACAAGGACCCCCAGCAAACAACATTGATGTCAAGGGAGTAATTGATGTGACAGTCAAGTGTGCCGAGGGAGACCTTACATTACCCCTGTATGTGGCCAAGGGCCATTTTCCATTTTTGCTAGGAAACAACTGGATTCCATTCCTGGAATTAGACTACAACAAATTACTCAAGAAGTCTAAACATCCAGAAATTTGTGCACTTCAACGCACTGAGTTGGAAGAGTTAGCACAGCAGTTTCCATATTGCTTTGGCAAAGTGGCTGGACCAATTGAAGGTTACGAGGCAAGGGTAAGACTGAAAGATAATGCAATTCCAAAATTCATTCCTCACAGAGAGCCTCCAATTCCACTCCGACAACCTACAGAAAAGGAATTGAAGAGAATGGAAGAAGCTCAGTTTCTTCGTCCAGTATTATACAGTAAGTGGGCATCTCCGACTGTGATAGTACCAAAGAAAAATGGGCAAGAAGTACGTATATGTGGAGATTATTCTGCCACAGTTAATCCTCAAGTTGAAACTGCCTATTACCCTATTCCAAAGATTGATCATCTTTCCATGGTGAGTGGCAAATACTTTACTAAACTGGACATGAAAGATGCATATTGCCATGTGAAAATTGCTGAAGAGGACCAAGAAATACTAACCTTATCCACTCATGTTGGATTGAAGGCAGTAATGAGACTACTATTTGGTCTAAGTTTCGCTCCAGCTGAATTCATGTCCATAATTAGCCAAATCCTGGGTGAGCTTTTGAATGAATACTACGATCAAATGTTCTTGTACCTGGATGATTTGCTTCTTGCAGCCAAGACAAAAGAGGCATTACAAGATTTAATGAAGAAAGTATTAACTTTGTTGAACAAACACAAGGTACAAATTAATGTTGCCAAGTGTGTTTTTATTGAAGAACAAGTTGACTTTCTTGGACTGCGCCTATCTGCAAGAGGACTACAACCAGACCCCATGAAAGTACAGAAAATTCATCAGTCCCAAATTCCTAAAGACAGGGATCAACTGCTGTGTTTCCTGGGCATGGTTAATTTCTACAACAAATTCATCAAGAATATGTCTACTACTGCTGCACCTCTGTATGCTCTACGAGATACAACCTTCAAGTGGGGTGATGCTCAACATAAAGCTGCCATGTCTCTGATTAATTCTTTGAATTCTGAAGTTCTAGTGCCATATTCACTGCATCAAACCCTGAGATTGACCTGTGATGCGAGTCCAATTGGAGCGGGTGCTGTTCTGGCCCATGTTTCTGACACTGGTGAAGAAAGACCCATCGCATATGCATCCAAGTCGTTTACTACTGCAGAACAGGGTTATTCTCAAATTGAACGAGAAGCTGCTGCTGTCATCTTTGCATTCAAGAAATTTCAACACTACTTATATGGCAGACACTTTGAACTTGTTACAGATAATACAGGATTGATGAGCTTACTCAATCCCAAACATCAACGAACTGCTGTAGCAGTGGGAAGAATTCAGAGATGGTATCTGTTAATTTCAAGCTACAATTTCACCCTGAAGCACAAGAGATCGCAAGAAATTCCACATGCTGATTGCTTGAGCAGAATTCCTGGTGAAGAAAATACTCCAATTGAAAATGAAGACAACACAATCTACTTTGTTGATTACTTGCCAATCACTGCTTCTGAAATTCGTGAACAAACAACAAAAGATCCAGTTCTCTCCAGAGTAGTATCATATGTCCAATTTGGATGGCCTGATACACCAGTGGATCCTGTTTTTGAAGCCTACAAACGGAAAGGTATTGAACTTACTCTAGAAGTTGGTTGCCTGTTATGGGGATCTAGAGTAGTCATTCCCACAGTTCTACGGGAACAAGTCAAATACTTATTGCATTCAGAACATCTGGGCGAATCCAAGATTAAAATGCTGGCTAGAAGTCATGTCTACTGGCCGGATATTGATAAGGATATCGAAGACTTTGTCAAGAAATGCTCAGTTTGCAGAGTTCTAGATGTTCAGAAGAAACCGATGCCTGTCATTCCGTGGACTTGGTCTACTGCTCCCTGGAAGAGAATTTTTGTTGATTTTGCCAAGAAAGATGGTGTCACTTTCATGATTACAGTGGATCATCACTCAAAATATCCATTTGTTGAGATTATGCAAAGTACAACTGCCACTGCAGTTATTGGTTATCTCAAAATCCTATTTGCACAGTTTGGTTTTCCTTGTGAACTTGTGGCAGACAATGGACCGCCGTTCGACGCTGCTGCCTTTAAGGAATTTCTCAAGAACCATCATACTACTTTGAAGCATTCCCCAGTTGGACATCCACAGTCTAATGGAGAAGCGGAGAAAATGGTTCAAACATTCAAGAAAACCTTGTTAAAGCAGTTGTTGGATCCTGAGACTGCACACAGGACATTGCAAGACCAGGTCAGTTCATTCCTGTACTCATACAGAAATACTCCTCATGTACTTACAAAGTGTCCACCCTCTGAATTATTCCTCAAGCGTCAAATGAGAACTCACTTCACTGTTCTCAATCCATTGACCAATTTGAATGAGAAGGTACAAAACCGACTCAATGATACTGCACAGAAGAGGGGTGGCAAGTTCAAAGAATTTAATGCTGGTGATACTGTTTGGGTCCGAGTCATGATTGATAACAACAAGTTTATCTACAAGCCTGCTGTTATTCAAAGACGAGTCAGTTCAGACTCTTATGACATTATGCTTAATGGAAGAGTTCGGCACACTTCAGCTGAACACATGTACTACAGAGACCCAAATGCTGATCCCATAGATCTTCTGGATTTACCTAGACTGACACAGGAACCAGAGCAGATTGAAATTCCTGTACCAGTACCCGTCCAAAAGAAGACTGCCAATGATAGTCCTGCATCCATTCCAAGAGTTGAGAAGATTCTCCAAAGTCCGCAACAAACTCCCATTCCAGTGGCTAACTCCACTCCTAAAGGCATCGAGCAGGAGCTATCGATACCAAAGAGTCCCTCAATGGGGCAACCTCCTCAAACTCCTGCTCGAGCCAGCACACCAAGTCAGCCGTCTGGAAGAAGATTGTTCAACACTCCACCTTCTCCGACTCACCGTCCTAAGAGGAATGCAGGACGTCCTCGCTATCTCCAAGATTATGTTTAATTTTAATTCTATTATGTGCCATGTTCGTGCCAAAATAAAATCTATCTGATTTTGTATTACTATTCTACAAATTGTATTACTTCTATGTCAAATTAGTACTAATCT